AGAAGATATGGGGGCCTTTAAAGGCGTTTGTCTGGAGCCATGCGCCAATCAATTTTTATCGTTTTGCCTTAATTTGATGAGATTTTTATCGATTTCTCGTTTCCGAGCCGAAGTCAAGTTGAGCCTGATCCCCACCATCCAAGCTCAAGCCGGCAGCTTCTTCTTATTCATCATCAAGTTATTCTTTATTTTTTGCATAAATTAAATTGGCTAATGGTCATAAATTTCGGCTGGTCGGGCCCTGATTGTTTTGAGCTCCTTTAGCGTTGCTTTCAGGGATTTATTAGCTGACCTTCAGCGTTATAAATAAACAAGAAAATTCCTTTAGTCTCCGCATTCTGTAGACTCTGTGCTGATTTTCTTCTTAATTGAGTGACTGACACGAGGGCCGATTCTGTTGATAGCTCGGAAAAAGTTGTTATAAATTGTATAGGTGCGGTTTGGTAATTTTGAATGATAAATTAATAAAACAGTAAATGAAAAATGGTGATGGTATATAACATGTATAGCATAACATGGCGATAAAAGTTTAAAAAGTTAGGATACAAAGGGGAAGCGGAAAGATAAGTTATTAGAAAACCCCAAATTTATAAAAAAAAAAATATAAAAGCCAGATAATTGGGTTAGTCATCCATATTTTGGGGTTTCCAAAAGGTGTAAGTTTTCTCCGCACAATCTAATGCCAACAAATGGTAAAATTCTATAGAATGCCTTCTTGTCAACAATTTATTTTAAACTTTTTCAACAGGTTTTTTTTTAATTTTCCTAAGCTTAAGTATTTTCCTACTAATTTTATTCATAGCCATAAATATTCCAGTTATTTTAATCTGATCTATCAACAATTTAAGACTTATCAACGGCTCTAAGTCTTACATACACACATTCCTTTTCGGTTTTCAACAAAAGTTCAACTGCAGTCCAAAAATGCTTCCAATTGTTGCACAACCATCAACAACGGTGGGTTGTTGCAAATGCAACTGCAACTGCGGCAGCAACAACATTTAGGCAACATGTTTTTCGTCTTTTTCTATGGCCCCGCGTCACCTTCCACCGCCAACTGAAAAGTGCCGAGCCAAGACAAGAAATCGGCCAAAGTGATCATGTTTATATAGACACGTATAGAGTCTATAGAAAAAAACACAAAAAACGACAAAGGCAACAAACATACAACGGCAACCGCCGAACCAACGGCTGCACAGTTATGGCAATCGGTAAAGTTGCCAGTTGCAAAAATCAAACAAAATGGCACAAAAACAGCGAGAGGGCAACAGCAAAAGCAACGACAGCCAACTGCAATTGGCCAAAAACTGCAAGTAAAAACGAGAAAAAAAGATCGATTCTGCAAACCGAATAGTACATACTCTTGTACTTAAAACCATTATGTCTTGACCAACAAATTGACCAACAAATCATTTATAAGATCGTTAAAAAAAAATAAATTCATAAAAAAAATTTCCTACTATGGCATATTATGATCCACTATTTTTAATAGTATTTCTGAAATTACAGATAAATATTTTTTCTATTACTTTATCGATATTTTAAGAGTTTCACTGTAAGAGTTTTTTCTTTTTTTTGCAAAGTTTTATAATTAAGAGATTATGATGTAAAGGAATTTATTCATATATTAGAAAATATATTTTTAACTGCCTTCCAAACGTTTGAACAAAATTATAATACTACCTTATGTATAACAAGGAAGCACAGGATACACCAATATGGGTATTATTAAAAAAAACTACATATAAATAACTAGTTGGACATTTCCAATTATTTTGTCTAAAACAAGTAACCTTTATGTTTATTATTTCCGCAAAGTAGTTTTTTTAATTATTTATCACTTTTAGAATACCTTATAACAGTTATTTTCCAATAAAAATTCTCAACTACTCTTGTTATTTTTCATTAATCGATAACAACAACTTAAGTGCATTTGTAATACTTATACTTAACTTTGTGTAAGAACATTTTTTACCATTCAACATTTAGCTACTAGGCAATGTTACAAACCACTAGACCTATCCAAAAAACTCTTGAAAATTATTAAAAAATTGTAAAAACGATAAGCAACAATGTTGCCAAGTAATAGAGCGATGGAAAAGCCGTCTTTCCTCTCTTTTTCTCGCTGTAAGAACGAAAAGAACTTTGGCTATATTGTGTTCTATTCTTTTTCTGCCTTTTCACCTGGAGTTCTTGGCGAGGTTACAACAAGGTAAACCTGCTGCCATGCTATTGTATCTTTCAGTTGGATCTTTTGCCTTAGACAATGGAACAAAGCAAGAGGCATTCTCGCTATTCTCGGAGTTCGCTCCGCCAGAATAAGAAAAAGAATTATGGTGAGGAGGTCAATGTTGCAATTGTTAACTGCTAATTAGCAGTCAGAGTCAAAGCCAGGGAGAGAATCGGACGGACGACGACGAGCATGTATCAATTTATGTATTGCAAGTGGGAGGTGGGATGGTGGGATGGCGAGATGGGCAGGGGGAGTACCCGAAGGCATGTTCGAGAACCGGTTAACAGCTGGCACCCAACTGACGAACGAAAAATAGTTAAGTTGTGGCAGTTCAAGATCGACATAAGATATGGCTAGACAAATTATGATCTCTTAATAGGACGGTGTTCTTAGATATAGTGGGTAAAATATATTAAAGCTTCCATTACACACAGTATTGATATATTCTTGGTTAGTTATGGGGCGTAAAACTATTTTTCCCCACTGAATAGTTCATAATTAAGACTGAAGTAGGATCTCTGAGGAGGTAATATTTTAGGGTACATATTACCATTAAGGTGGACCAAATAATCAACTTATTCAGAAGTAGCCGTCTATACCCACAGTTATGACAACGAAAAATAGTTAAGTTGTGGCAGTTTAAGCAAATAGACAAATTATGATCTCTTAAGGGAACGGTGTTCTTAAATATAGGGGGTAAAATATATTAAAGCATCCATTACACATAGTATCGATATGTTCTTGGTTAGTTATGAGACATACAACTTGTTTTCTTACTAAATAGTTCGTAATTATACTGAAATATGAACTCTGAGAAGGTATTACTCGGGTACATATTACCATTAGGGTGGACTAAATCGTCGAAGTATTCAGCCAGAGTATTAGCCAGAGTTTTGACAACTAGAAATAGTTAAGTTGTGGCAGTTCAACATCGACATAAGATATAACTAGACAAGTTAAGATCTCCAAAGGCGAAGGTGCTCTTAAATAAAAGGGATAGTATATTTTAAGCCATCCATTATACTAAGTATAGATATATTCTTGGTTATTTATAAGGTGTACAACTAGTTTTCTGGGATATGATCCTTGAGGAGGTAATATTTTTGGGTATATATTACCATTAACGTGGACGAAATCATCGACTTATTCAGAAGCATCCGTCTTTAGCCCGAGTTATGACAACGAAAGCTGTAAATTAACCTTTGAGGCTGCGCACAACGTTTAAAAAGAGTTCAAGAACATAAACAAGCTTATGCGGTGGATAAACCGGAGCCAATCAACTTACAAGACTCGCGGTTAACCTTCGCAAATGTAGAGAAGACTCGGGGGCGGAAGAGTTCATAAGTCCAGCAGCTTACAAAATGAAAAGAGTTGAGACTGCAGCAGCAAAGTAAGAACCGCCAATAAACACAAAAACCGCAAGCCGACGCAGTCAAAATAATAATGAGCCCGACATTTAAAATGGTTTATGAGACAGCCCCTTCTTCTGCGGGCTTCTCCTCAAAAGCACAAAGTTTGGCCCAACCTCAGCCGCAGAATTGGCCAGTCTTCGATTTTTCTGGGTCAAGCCTCACGCGAAAGCAGAAAGAGCAAGAGACTCTCGGCCACGGCTCAAGAAATGTGTGGTAGAGTTCAAAACGTGCCTGGGCCATATTGTTCAGAGACATGCATTGCCATCGCCTTACACAGCCAACTATCCTCCTCCGATACTCAACTCCCTGATCAAGCCCGTCTCTGCTCTCATTTTCTTCAAGTCGTTGTCGAAACAATTTCCGGTGGCCTGCACTGAGAAAAAAAAACGCACCTTAAGTCGAAGACAGAATACTTAAGACCATATAAAAAATTCCTATATCTTCTTACTAAACAAGATGATGATTCTCTATTAACTTGCCTTTAAAATATGTCAAGGTCTGGGGTATAAAAATAAGTACTGATAACTAATTCTTCGGAAATACGGTGTACATATGTGAGTCATTTAAACCTAACTTTACATTTTAATCGAGAGTCAGCACTTAAACCTAAGTTAAAGCAAGAATGTCCGTTTATAAAATATATAATAGGTTCGTTTTACTATGAAAATAGGGTTTTATAATACAAAATTTGCTAAGGGGTATAGGAAACACATATTATGTTGAGAAACATTCAATCCTGACTTTAAATCAGTAGGTTCTTTTTTTAGGAGATGATTTATAATTTAACTATCTTCGATTTCATATCATATCATATTTAAATATAGCATTTGGAGATTCTAAAAAACAAAAAAGTCTTCGGTTCCCTGAGCTTGCTAGATGTTTTTGACAAATGAATGAGTCAGCCAAGTTAAGGTCAGAATTCGAGGTTCGCTAAGGCCTCCGCCATATGAAAGTAGTTCAAGTGCCCAACGGCGCCGTTACATTTCACTGCTTATGAATTGAAGTGGACGGCCAGTCACTTCGTAACTCGCCACTGACTCCCCGTTCCGATATTTCCGCAGATTGGGGCGTTAATTAATTTGTTTTGATTTCAGGGGCTCAAAATGCCTTTTTGGTAGTGTGGGTGAAGTGGGCTTTTTGGAATTGGAGAGGAGAAAAGTGCTGGTATTGAACTGAGCTATTTCCTAGATACACTTTTATAGAAACTTAATTTCATAAATTTTTTCAGAACTAAAAGAAATCACAACCAAACGTCAGATATTTTTCGAAGTTTAAAAACCTTTTTTTAAATTTTTTCTAGTGTATAGTTTAACGATTTACTAAAGTGTTCTGTTAAGAAAAAGTGTCAATCTTACCATTTAAAAGTAAATAAAAGTATTCCAATTGTCCCGTTTTTCAGTCTATTAAGATTTTAATGGATTTCCGTTGTTGTTGCTGGTGGTGTTGTGTTGATAAGATTTTGTTACCCAAAAGCCAGTTGGGATTTCAAGTTGGTCTTGTTTTATGGGATTCACATTCTAGTTTGTGTCACATTTTACTTGGTAAATATATATATAATTTGCTTGCACATTTGTGTATATAACTTTTCTTGTAGATTATTTGCCCGAGTGGAAGCGATTCGATGGCAAAAACGAGGAAATTATTGCACGACAAACATGGGATTTTTCACCTGTGAATTATTAACGGTAAATTACTCATCCAGCGATGGCGAGGCGAGGCGCACTTGTGTGGGTTAACGAGCGACGAGGAAAGGCAGCAGCAGCAGCGGCAGCGGCAGCAAATTGACAATAAAATAAACAAAATGCAGCCGCGAAAAAAAACGACGAAACTTGTTGGAGCTGCAAACGCGGAAACTGTTGCAAGCGAATCGAAACCAGAAAGACTTTTCTGCACACACAATGTCCAATCAGAACCAACACACACTCTCGCAGTCGCATTCACATTCGTATTCGCATTCGCACTCTCCTCTCTCTCACACACACACACACTCTGTTCTGCACTTGCCTCTTCTTTCTGCGGCTTTCTTCGAGTCTTGGGTTTTATTTTACACGACGGCGGCGCTCTTGTTGCGTTTTTCCTCACCTTTCGCAGAGTTTATTGACATTTTCAGCGTTCGCTTTGTGCGCTGCTTTCTTCGGGCCAGCGAGCGTGCGCTCTCTCCCCCTGGCCAGGCTCTCACTCTCTCGGTTCTTTCTCTTTGGCTGCCTCTCTCCCGCTCCCCTCTCAGCACTTGCTTTTTTGTTTACAATGGAACACTCTCACACACACACACTCTCGCACAAAGAATAACCTTCAATTTTATCTTATTGCGCGCTCCAGTCCACTACTCATTATTCTTCTACTTTGCGCCTATTAGCATTTGCTTTTCGGTTTAAGCTTGTGCAGAATTTAAAACTTAATCAATGCACTCTACCCCTCCCCCACACACACGCACGCACGCCCACACACGCAGCCACAACGAACGACCTTTGCGGTGCGAGCGTTCTGCCGACTGCAGAAAAAGGTTTCGTATCGTTTCGTTTCCGATTTAATATACCATTTATTCACGGATTTAATTGCACGGCAATTGCGGGCGGCGCAAAAGCGCTACCTGGCCACTCTTTTTCACTCGACTCGCAGGAACACCGATTCGAATCCACAACCACAATCGCACCGCTCAAGCGATCCCACAACAAATCCCACATTCACAATTGAATGGCCGAAATGTAGTTGATGTGCAGCTGGTCCATTGGCCATCAGCGACTTGTTGTTCAATTTTTTTTTAAAAACAAAACAACAGGGGCAGAATTCTGAGCAGAAAAATCGAAAACAAATAACGACACACGCACTTCAATGGCAAACCGACGCAAACTATCTATGTGTAGTCAAACGATTTCAACGAGTTCACAGAAAACTTGACTAAAATCTAAAATTACCTCTTCACGTTCTCAATTTCGAGATTTTCCACCGCCCGCTTCTCGATTTGGACTGACTTGGTTTGGTTTGGTTGGACTACGTAAGTTACGTACGTAAAGTACGTATGTCGGGCCAAACGTAAGTGTCAGTAAAAGAGGGAGACAGCCTCAGCGTAAGTGTCAGTAAAAAAGCGAGATGCAAGATGGGAGATGGAAGAAATGGAGAAACCCACAACAGAACCGTTCGCGGTGAAAAAGCAAAATGTTTGTTTTGTTGACGAATCCCACCACAGGCCCGCTCTAGAGGTGGAGCGACCAGGTGTTATCGATGTCCCCGAATTTCGACCATCGATGTTTTCGCATCCCTAGAAATGTGGCTACCCTGCGGGGAGCTGCTACTGAGCCTTGCCACTTTTCAGAGGTGAGTTTTCCAGTTGAAATATGTTCTGATTAGTAACCAGTTTATCAATGAACTTTAATTTTGAGACTTAGCAAGGGGGGACTAAGAGCTTTTGTGACTTTTACTTTAAAAGGCCTACTTCGAATTTTGATTTTAAATATAAAAAACAACGATCGATCTTATCCACAAAGTACCAAGCAATCAGAAAAGTTGGAAAGGAAACAAAGCCATGTTAATGCTTGAGTAAAAAATTGATCAATTTCCGCAAAGCAAATGGTGCCTGTACATAGGGTTCTACTCTATGGGTAAACTTTGATTTCGCAAAAGTATCTGTAAACAAGACGAAAGATTAGGTTTACTTTAAAAATGGTTTTCGTTTTTGGAAATCTTTGAAGTGAGAAATTCGGGGAACTGATAACAAATAATTTTCTTTTTCGCTCAGTACACAAAATATTACTGCTATCAGAACATATTTCAAATGGAATACTCCCCTCTGAAAAGTGGCAGGCTCAGTAGCAGCTCCCCGAAGGTTGGCAACGTTGGCCACACATCGATAGCCGATGAATGTTATTGGTCATTGCCAGAATAATCGTCTCCCAAGTCTATAACTCTACTACACAGACTTTGGGCCATTAAGTTTTTTTCTTTAGAAATGGCCAAGTTTATTTTTTTATTCAATAAATTTTAGTAATAACATTAAAAATTTTATCAAAATAAAAATAATTAGCTACTTCAAAATTGACAAATTCATAAACAAAAAGTTGTATTTGCCGCCGCCCAATGCAGCGGTGTACAAACGCTCGAGACCTGCTGAATCATTTGTTCCAGCAAGCTGGAGATGCCGAATTTTTCAATTTTTTAAGACCAAAAATACTAAAAAACGCTTACTTCATAATATTTCCCTGGCCTGGGAGGCGGTGCGTTGAGTCCATGCTGATCACCTCACCCTTGGTGCATAGGTTTAGCGGCTCGCCAAGGAGCGTCGTCACTTCCAGGTGGGTACCGCACTGCGCCTGCTTCAGTGATATCAGGGCCGTGCAGCGTAGATCGCACCCCTCCCGGCGGAAGAATGGGTGTGGCTTCACCCTAAGGACGAACACCACGTCGGTGACGTTTGCCTGGGACTGCTCCATCAGTCTCGGCGACCTTATCGTCACCTTTTTTCCCCGACTTCCCAAAAGAAGGCCAGATCCTCGCTCTACTTCCTCTTGCCCTGGTCCCCATGAGTCGCTGCCACATCGCAATTGACGGCGTTTTTAAATACATAAGCTTGTAATACCATTGTATAACAATAACATATTCAAAATACGAGCATGCAGCATGTTACACCAGCCGAACATTTAATTATATTTGAAAAGTGCCGTCCAATACGTCCTTAATAATCCGCGTGCGCAGAATCCGCCTGCGCAGCCACTGTGGTATCCTGCGCAAGGGTGGCATCCTGCGCAGGGATATGTGGCGCCACCGCCACAGTGGCATCCTGCGCAAGGATATATGGCGCTACCGCCACAGCAGCCTCCTGCCGAGGCGCCAGCAGCGCCGCAGGAGCCGCCGGCAACAGCGCCACCTGCGCAGGCTGCTCCCTCGTTGCCACCCCCACCTGTGCCGCTGCTATCAGCAGGGCGCAGGCGTCCTGTCGCTCCTCAGGTGCGGCCAGGACGCCCATATTCAGCATTGGTACGGCCCCATCATTCATTGCCTCCCAATGCTGAAGTGGCTCACTGGGTTGGTCAAGTGCCAACTAAGCAGCAAGTGAGTCACTTCGACGGCAATGGACGACGACGCCGTATCAATGCTGGATGTGCTGAACCAAATGCATTCATGCATGTAATGCCAGGCGCCACAACTGCTTGGCCACGTCCCGCACATACTCGTGCCCCTACTTCCCATTTACCTATTTTTTCATAGATGTCTCCAGAAATCGGCAAGTTGGGGAAGATGAAAATAAAGGACGGAGTACGGGAGGTGTTCTACTTCGCAAAGAGCGGGCTGCAGCACCAACTGGTGGGAGCCGTGAGCGAAAGCAACGCGGCGAACCAAGACGCCTGGATATGACCACAGGCACTTGTGCGGGCGCTCGCACATTACAAGCAGGAGTTCGGGAGAATCGAGTTTGTCCTACGAAATATATACCAGGTGGTGCCAGAGGAGGAGGTGTCCCTAACCAGCTTGAATGCTGACCTCCTGGAGGACATCGGCCAAAAATGGGCAATCGCGTTGGAGGAGGCGATGGCGGAAGCCCTGTCGGTGTTCCCGGTCAGGGAGGATGAGGAGCTGGCCCTCCTCCTCGTCGGCAGCTTGGTTTCGGTGATGGCGATCACCGAGGACCCGTACAATTTTTAATAAATAAATAAATAAAATATATTATAAAATATTTCAAACATTTTTCTTATTTTTAATTTTACATAATTTTATATAATTTTATGTAATTTTCTATAATTTTTTGAGGTGACCATGTCGGAAAAATACAAAATGACCTACAAAATATAAGCAAAATGATTTTTGAAAAATTGTTTTTTTGTTTTTTGCCGACCAGTGTATGTACTTATTCCAAATTTAGCAACTCAGGTAGTGGTGGCAGCGGTGGCTGCTGGTATGGCGGCCGGCCAGTACGCCACGCAGAATCCGCGTATTATTTTTTTATGTTTATTATTTATGTTTTTATAATTCCAGAACCAAATGGAAGCGTCAGACAACAGTGGTGTGAACCGCTGGTCTAACATAATAATCTAGTGGGTGGTGTGTATTCAAGAACTATGAAGTATGGTGGACTACTTTTGGCTAAAGTTGAAGTTTAAAATTTTTGTATAAATAGAAACACATAAAATAAAATCAACGCATAGACATTGGGCCTGGGAGCCGCCGCTCTGAAATCCTGCGCAGGGATACGTGGCGCCACAGCCACAATTCCAGGCGCCACCAGCGCCACAATTCCAGGCGCCTCCTCCTGCTCCGACGCCCCACCAGCAGCAGCCTCCTGCGTGGGTGCCCCACCAGCAGCTGCCTCCTACTCCGGTGTCACAGGAGCAGCCGGAGGAGGACCCGGAAGAGGAGCCGGCAGAGCAGGAGCAGTTCGATTTGAGGTCCACTTCGTCGCCCGCACCGCCAGCTCAGGAGGGCAGCACCACCTGCTCCCCCGTTGGCACCCCCAAGTGTGCCGCGGCCATTGCTCCTCAGGAGCGGCCAGGGCGCCCATATCCAGCACGGATAGGGCCTTGTCTATCATTGCCTCCCAATGCTGCAGTGACTCAATGGCCGCAGATGCCAACGATGCATCCGCAGAGTCACTTCGACGGCAATGGGACGATGCCTTATCAGTGCTGGATGTGCTGGCAAATATGCCGTCATGCTTCTAAAGCCAGGCGCCACAACTGCTTGGCCACGTCCCGCACATACTCGTGCCCCTACTGCCCATTTACCTCTGTGGTAAAAAACCCGAGCGGGCATAGGGCTAAGTGCGAAGGGGAAGGGGTCACGGCGTACTTGCCGGATGGCCCACATGCCACCCTGCGGCGACATTGGGCGGGGCTAAACAACGGGGAGGTGCAGCAGCATTCGAGGGAGTCCTCAATGTCCCCCATGTCGCGGGAGCTTAGCGAGGGGCTAAATGCCTTGTTAAAATTTGATTTGATTTTTAACTTTAATTATAATTTTAATATTATTTTCAGATCCCCTTCTGAAGGCTGAAGGGCATTGAGGCTCCTGAGCGGTCACGCCGGACTGCGTGCGGCTGCGGGCAAGATAAGCATACGCTAGACGGCCATAGTGGCTAACCACCGCTGCATTGGGCATCTGCGGAAAATCCAACTTTTTGTTTATGAATTTGTCAATTTTTAAGTAGCTAATTATTTTTATTTTGATAAAATTTTTAATGTTATTACTAAAATTTATTGAATAAAAAAATAAACTTGGCCATTTCTAACGAAAAAGACTCAATGGCCCAAAGTCTGACCGTGTAGTTGGAGTTACAGACAGAGTTGGAGTTACAGGAGACGGTTATTCTGGCAATGACCAATAACATTCATCTCCAGCAGATGGAAAGCTTGTGGCTAGACGCGCTCGCCGAGACTGATGGAGCAGTCCCAGGCAAACGTCACCGACGTGGTGTTCGTCCTTCGGGAGAAGCCACACCCATTCTTCCGCCGGGAGGGGTGCGATCTACGCTGCACGGCCTTGATATCACTGATGCAGGCGCAGTGCGGTACCCACCTGGAAGTGCCGACGCTCCAAGGGTGAGGTGATCAGCATGGACTCAACGCACAGCTTCCCAGGCCAGGGAACTATTATGAAGTAAGCGTTTTTTAATATTTTTGGTCTTAAATAATTGAAAAATTTAATTATAATAGAAGCTAAATATTAGATTAGATTATTACAAATTTCGCTGTGAGAATAGGACATGTCCTGGCGAAAAATGTTGGCTTGTAAATGCGAATAGAACAAAATTTTCATAAAGCAGGAAACGGCACATGGACGGCAGGAATTTTAGGGGTAAATTTAAAAGAATTTTATTTCTTTGATTTTAAGACTAGGAAAATGTTTAATTCTTAGCAGCTCCCAGTTTCCCCACCTTAATATCCTAGCCCATTTCCATTCCCTATAGACAACGCCGCCGTATCAATGCTGGATGTGCTGGACAAAATGCAGTGATTCATTTAAGTCCAGGCGCCACAACTGCTTGGCCACGTCCCGCACATACTCGTGCCCCTACTGCCCAATGCCCCTTTACTTCGGCATCTTCAGCTTGGTGGAACAAATGATTCAGCAGGTCTCGAGCGTTTGTACACCGCTGCATTGGGCGGCGGAAAATCCAACTTTTTGTTTAGCTAATTCTTTTTATTTTGATAAAATTTTTAATGTAATTACTAAAATTTATTGAATAAAAAAATATACTTGGCCATTTCTAACGAAAAAGACTCAATGGCCCAAAGTCTGACCGTGTAGTTGGAGTTACAGACAGAGTTGGAGTTACAGGAGACGGTTATTCTGGCAATGACCAATAACATTCATCTCCAGCAGATGGAAAGCTTGTGGCTAGACGCGCTCGCCGTGACTTGTTAACGAATCCTGAAATCGACAAGGGTCTATCGGTTTTCCTGAATATCTGCTATCGATGTGTGGCCAACGTTGCCACCCTTCGAAGAGCTGCTACTGAGCCTGCCACTTTTCAGAGGGGAGTATTCCATTTGAAATATGTTCTGTAATGTTCAGTAATATTTTGTGGGATAAAAGAGTTTCAAATAACAGAGCTATAAGTAACGGTTTTCCAAGAAAATTATTTGTTATCAATTCCCTAAAATCCTCACTTTAAACTTTTTCAAAAACGAAAACCATTTTTAAATGAAGTTTAACATACTGTTTAGGTATTTTTTACGAAATCAAACTTTACCCATAAAGTAGAAAACATTTCATACTTTGTGGATAAGATCGAGCGTTTTTTTAACTTTTAAAATCATAATTCCCGAGTATCCAAAAGTATGTTTAGTTCTCTACAATCGTACGCGGCAGTCCTACACTTTGAAGCTAAAAAAAACATGTTTCTTTTTTTTAAGTTTGGTAAGTTAGTTTCTATTTAATCTTAGCTTAAAATAAATAGTTTTAAGTCAACTTTAAAATACACCGAAAAAAATATCAAAAAAATACTTTTTGCCCGTATTAGTAGGCATTGCCCTAATAAGTTATCCAAGGATATGCAAATTGCTTAGCTTAGTTAAAGCTACTCAGATCGGCTAAGAGATTCACTAGTCGATAAATCTTATTTTTTGTATTGTGACCGAAGTTTTTAAAGTTCACCCGCAATGCATGTGGCATGATCTTACTGTCAAGCAGCTGGGCTTGTTGTTAAACGGAAAACAAATCAACTGGAGCAATTTAAAAAATAAGAGTTTGTTGGTGCACAAAGAAATTAAAATTAAAATATACGGAATGTTAAACGAAAGTATGTAAGTTAGAAGTTCAGGGCTTCCTTCTCGTCCCTCGGATGCTTCGCTATCTTTCCCGCGCCATCTATAGTCCAGCTCCGAGTCCCATATTGGACCTTGAGAAAGTGAGAGCCGGATTGGGAACGGGGTTTTTTCTCCTGATGCTGCAGGAAGTCGGTCAGCATCCTGGCAATGGCTTCTTCAGCTGTACCTTAGCGGACGCCCCCCTCCCTATAAAAGCCGGCTGAGGACACGCCGCATCCGCTTTAGCTGCCAAAAAGCTGGTGGAGGTAGGGTCATGTGGTTTCCCAATGGAGAGCTTGTCGGAGATCGTTCTGCTTAAAAGATACTTGATTTGCGAGGACACGCCCGGCAAGATGTTCATGTAGGGGGCGAAGTCCCACTCCCTGTGTTTCTTCCCCCTGGGATTCTCTAGTGGATCTCCTCCATCACTTCAACTATTCTGCGGATTTTCCCTGTTGTGGTATTGCTTCCTGTCGATGACGTCCCACAGTAATAAGCAAGAGCTTGGATTAGGTGTCCTTTTTTATCTGCACTGACATTCTGCAGGGGTTTTGGGGTTTTTCTTCCGTTTTTAATTTTTTGTTTCCACAATGGTTTTGCACAAACACCGCCATTCTTTGGGCCGCGGCTAACGGCGTTCATCGAAATTCTCTTGCTAAATCTGGTATTTTTTCTGGTATTTCCGTAGATCATCTGAGTACCGCGCTGAAAAACTGACCTCACTCCTATGGTTAGCTCGTGATTTTCGTCGATGTGAGTACTAGGCTTAAGGATCTATTACCCTCTGCACACAGCCGCTTAAGAATCGCTGTTGCACTTTTAAGTGCATTCCTGAGGCTCCTTGGGCCTGCACCAACAACAATTTTCTCCTAACGGCGCCATTGCAGTTCCAATGCATTTCCTTCTTTAAAAAATACTGAATAAATCAGTGGAATACTAAATCGACTTGTGTGTGCGGTCCCATTTTCCGCTGCAGCGAGTTATAGCGCCTTTTTCCGTCTCTTTCCCACAAGTATATTTCTTATGGAGGGATAAATCCCCCCAGGGGAATTCGGTCGCTGATGCGAAAACTCCCTTGTGTTTGACTTTGCCGATCTGCTCTTCGCCTCAGCGATTTTCTATGTTAACAAGAATTGCTGTTGCAATTTTAAGCGGCTGTGTGCAGAGGGTATAATGTGCTAAAAATGAAGTCTTGACTTGTCTTAAGTCGAAAATTAATCGAAGTTAGTCCCTTTGACAAGCTACAGTCATAGACACCTTCGACATTTCTGTTTAACCAAATTGTGCCTTTGGATCTAATCGTACAACATATTTTCAAGGTATTTTAAAAAGTGCATCTTATTTTAAATTATTTTATTTTAAATTTTTTGTGACAAGCTATAGCCATAGACACCGTAGACATTTCTGTTTAACCAAATTGTGCCTTTGGATCTAATCGTACAACATATTTTCAAGGTATTTTAAAAAGTGCATCTTATTTTAAATTATTTTATTTTAAATTTTTTGTGACAAGCTATAGCCATAGACACCGTAGACATTTCTGTTTAACCAAATTGTGCCTTTGGATCTAATCGTACAACATATTTTCAAGGTATTTTAAAAAGTGCATCTTATTTTAAATTATTTTATTTTAAATTTTTTGTGACAAGCTATAGCCATAGACACCGTAGACATTTCTGTTTAACCAAATTGTGCCTTTGGATCTAATCGTACAACATATTTTCAAGGTATTTTAAAAAGTGCATCTTATTTTAAATTATTTTATTTTAAATTTTTTGTGACAAGCTATAGCCATAGACACCGTAGACATTTCTGTTTAACCAAATTGTGCCTTTGGATCTAATCGTACAACATATTTTCAAGGTATTTTAAAAAGTGCATCTTATTTTAAATTCTTAGACCATTAATTAGAAATCCATCAGAACCATGGGCTCCGAGTTCTCCGACAACGACGACAGTGGTTGGACTAGGATCAAAGAGTGGCCGCCTGCCCAAGACTCCGACGAAATAATATGACTTTTTTGTGATAAGCTATAGCCATAGACACCGTAGACATTTCTGTTTAACCAAATTGTGCCTTTGGATCTAATCGTACAACATATTTTCAAGGTATTTTAAAAAGTGCATCTTATTTTAAATTATTTTATTTTAAATTTTTTGTGACAAGCTATAGCCATAGACACCGTAGACATTTCTGTTTAACCAAATTGTGCCTTTGGATCTAGTCGTACAACATATTTTCAAGGTATTTTAAAAAGTGCATCTTATTTTAAATTCTCAGACCATTAATTAGAAATCTATTAGAACCATGGACTCCGAGTTCTCCGACAACGACGACAGTGGTTGGACCAGGATCAAAGAGTGGCCGCCTGCCAAAGACTCCGGCGAAAGAATATGATCTTTTTGTGACACTGGAGGAAAAACCATCTCGCCATCAAGCGGCCGTGTGATTCAACGGGAGAAGCCACTGAACATCGCGATATCTCCGGGCTGGAAGGGGACACCAGTATCATCTTTCCAAAGGAGGGCGACGTGGTGCCCTACTGTGCGCCAACCCACACCCGATTTTCCGTCGGTAGTGGTGTGATTTCCGCTTCACGGGCCTGATCTCGCTGAAGCAGGCGCTGTGTGATACTTTCCTGCAAGTGCCGATGCTCCTGGGCGAGCCGCTGCATCTCTTCACCCATGATGAGGTGATCAGTACGGACTCGACGCGCCGCTTCTCGGGTCTGGGAATGCCCCAAAAGGCCCGTGCGCGGCGACCTCATCGTCGACTTCCCGATCGAGTTTCCGAAAACGATGTCAGAGTGGGCCAGATCCTCGCTCTAGTTAATCTTGCCCTGCTCCCCATAAGACTACAAGCTTATGGGGTGCAGGGCAAGAGGAATTAGAGTGGGGAACTGCCCTTCTGTGACATCGTTTTCGTAATCTCAATCGGAAAGTCTACGATGAGGTCGCCGCGGCACGAGCCGTTTATCGGATGGGACAGTCCCTGTCCCGGGAAGCGGTGCGTGGAGTCCGCGCTGATCACCTCACTCTGGGTGGACAGATGCATCGGCTCACCCAAGAGCGTCGGCACTTCCAGGAGGGTATCGCACAACGCCTGCTTCAGCTAAATCAGCGCTGTGTAGCGTAGATCGCATCCCGAAGAACGAACCCCAAGTCGCCGACGTGGGCGTGGGACTGCTCCATCAGTCGCGGCGGCCTCATCGTCGACTTCTCCAAGAAGAACAAGCCGGCTTCCTCCGAAGAAGAGGATGGCGCGGCTTCCGACGATCGTACTCGCACCCGTGGACGCCGATACGCATACATCGAGGATGGTAAGTACTTAATGTGATAACTTTTATCATCTACTTTAATTATATTTTTAATCCAGACGACGACAGCTCTGATGGTGGCATCAAACCCGGCAACCATCGGCCAGACACTCCACCTGAGGAGCGACAAAAGTTCATCCGGCGACAGGAGGAGATCAAGCGTATGCTGGCAGAGAAGAATGCAGAAGGTGCCAAACTGGCAGCTACACCACGTCTCACACCCATTAAGTCGGGCTCTCAGTGATTTGGCAGGCCAAGGTGCTGGACATCGATTACCTGCAACGCAAGGGAGAGACAATTGGCGATCTGGACGACGTAGACGAGTCGGAGCTGGATGACGCTGAGCTGCCCGACGACTTGCCGGAGGACATGGAAGACGCCATTGCTCGAATGGTTGAGGAGGAAGAGCAGTTCAGCGCGGCGGTGGCCGCTCGCGAGTTACCTGGAGCAGAGGAAGTTCTGCGCACTACACCCTCCAAGTCCAAGCAATCCAGCAAGCCAACGCCCGAGGCGACGCCAGCATCGAATCCTACTCCCGTACACAGTGCATCTGGTTTGCAGGAGCCACACCGAAAGCGTCTTCCCATGCCCACCATGCATCCGCCGCTTTTGCGCCATCCGTTCCCCGGCCATGGGCATCCTTCCGCGTCCCTGCTGCCCCCACACCCTCCTCACGGAATGCACCCAATGCTACAGCGCCATCTGTCGCAGACTGTTCCCCCACCACAGGCCATGCATCTGCTGCAGAACGCCCTCTCCGCTCCTCTTGGTCAGCCGCTGGGCTGTGGCAATTATCCTACCGGCCCCGGAGCTGCCCAGCACCTGCCTCTGGTAATGTCCATGCCATCTGCCGCGGCGGCGGCGGCCGCTGCTCATCTTATGCAATCGTCGGCCGCCTCGGCTGCAGTACGTCCACCCGAGACAGCAGCGGGTAACACGGCACCTGATTCCAAGCCAAGAGGCAGACGGAAAAAGGTGACACCACTCAGGGATCAGTTGCAGAAGCAGCAAACGGCGGCGGCTGTTACGGCGGCCACATCCTCATCAACTCCGGGACCAGTTCCTCCGGAAAAGGGCAAGGGACAGCCACTCTTCAAGCCGCACGAGGATGCTGCCGCCAGTCCGCCCAATCCGCAAGCCTCTGTGATCACCCGGATGCCGGCGCACCTCCCTCCGCCACATGGAAGAAGTCACGGACCCCCCGGTGGCATGTATCCCAGCAGCGCAGAACTCGCTCGATTCTACAGCCAAGTGGCTAGCCAGCAACCTAGCCCTGGCTCCCGTTCCCCCTCATCGCCGTCTGGACCGCCTAGACATCTCCTGCGACCACAGATGCCGCCTGGTTTGCCTCCAGCCCACGCATCCCTGCGACCCACCTATGGACCGCCGCCGCCACTGCGGGGATCGGTGCCACCCACATCCACGGCAAGCGGCGGAGCGTCCAATTCAAGGCCGCCTTACCTTCACGGAGCCGAGCATCACGGTGGACCTCCTGGCCCACCCTTGGGAGACGTCTTCGGCTCGGGACCGCCACCAGCTAGGCATGCATCGTCTCATCTGAACCCCTACAGGTGAGCTGGATTGTTTTTGTAATTGTCAAATCGATTTAACAACTGATTTTTCCACAGGGCACCCCCCATTTATGGCAATCCCAACTACTCGCCTCGTATCGGCGGACCTCCAGGTCCTGGTGGTATGCGCCCAGGATCTGTTGACTACGCGGCCGGAGCACGTAAGCATCTTAGTAAAATAGTCTTCTTGGTCGGTAGCGTCTCATTAAGCGGGAAAGGGAACAGTTCTGCTCAGCCTTTGCCGGCACACGTACAGCGTAGCACAGCGGTTGGCACACACACGTCGATTAGTTGCCCCGTGCAATTTAACCACACAGATGAGAAACAATATCTCATCGCGTTGTGCGCCGACCGCTGAACACTGTACGCGTGGCGGCAGAGAACGAGGAGAGCTATTCCGTATGCTCGTTTAATGGGAAGTTACCAACTGCTGCATTTACAAATATTTAGAAATATGGACTCATTAATTTTATTCACTTTATATTTTGCAGGTGGATATTCCCCATATGGCTACTATCCGCCGCCCCCACCGCTAACCACTCCTTCTGCCCATGCGGCGCCAAGTTCGGTGATTGTAAGTGCTCCGCCTGCGGTGACGCCAACGAATCACTCGGTGACCACTCTGACGCACGGAAAGACCCTGCCCCCAGCACCTCCAACACCAACGGCTGGTCCACCACCCGCCGCAGCACCTCCAGCAGCAATACCCAGCGAAGCCGGTAGCCACAAGCCATCAGTGACCTCTGTGATAACCAGCAAAAAGCTGACCACCCTGGAGGCGTACCCCATTAGGAAATCCCCGATCGCTGCAGTGGGTGAGGTGACGATTCCGGCGGAATCCACAAGTTCACCGGCTGCCATCGCCGAGGACGACTCGGGATCGGCCCATGACACCAGAGCTCCACCATCCGCAGCGGGAGCACCTGCCGTGGGCGAGTTTAGTGGTTTGGTTAGCTACTTTAGCTCGCAACAGGATGATTATGACACATAACAAACGCCACCGGGCGCATAAAAGAATTTGTATATATTGATTTTTAGAGTTACAAATTAAATTACATAATAGACGTAGCAACCCTGGCAATAATTTATCCTTAAAAGCTTTGTGTTTAATTCGTACTTCAGCAAAAGAAACCTGGTCCAAATTCTCTTAAAAGTTGTCCAAAGATACTTTTTATGCCGCGTTTGGCAATCACTTGATGTTTTACTAAAATGTTTTACAAAACTTTAAATTTGTATATTCGTTTGATTTTTACTTTCACTCTCAGCAGCTTTCTTTTTAATTAATTTAGTTCCCTTGTTTGTGCTCTTACTGTTTAGCTGACATCCAGCATCAACTACTTTTAGTATTCTGTACATTTTTTGAACTCTATCAAAATATGCGTAAGTTATTATGACACATACCATTAATATTATATGAACATAAAAGAAACTAATGATCATAAATAAATATAGTCAATAAACATAAACTTAATACAATGCAAAAGCTTGTCTGCGTAGACCTGTACACAAATTATAGTTTGAGTTAATTAAATAATTAAGCAATTGAAACGATAATGCAGTGCATAATTCAAAAATTAAACATACGTAACCATTATAATATAACGCAAATGGTATACTAAAATCAAAGATGGACAAGAACCTAATGTTCATAATAAAACTATATATCATTAGTTGCAACCATTAAAAAACATCGTTTTTAATGTAATAATGAGTTATTTCGGCACACATTTTTGGTGATAATTTCATAATGAAAGAACGTGTTCCGGAATGCATTTATTTCCGACTGGGTAGGAATACATCTATAAGTATATATGAATATTCTGAATCAGCTTCCATCTGCCTGACAGTTTTTAGGCGATTACTCTCATAGTTGCAGAGCTACGATGACGAAATGTTCACCTTTTGAAGTTTAAAAAAGGTAAGTTTTGGTCAGCCTTGTAAATATTTTCATATCTTAAAGCTGCCCAAAGAAGCGTAAAGAATATATAGGGATATATTTGTTTCTGTTTTGATTATAATTTCATTTATATATTTTATAGCGAGCTGCCCAAAAGAACTTGTCGGAATTAAGGAGTTTCTATTTTATTTTATTTTTTTTATATTTTGGGAACAGCGAATTTTTCAGGAGGTGTTTATGGTTTTTTGTTTTAAAGCTCTCTAACCGCTTCCGCTCCAAGTACACTAATCCATCAAGCAGCGCCAAGAGTGCGCTTTCACACAATCCTCAGTTGAAGACACGCTCCACCGACGCTTAGTCCTGATACATCTAATTAACTATACCCAACCGTTTCTTTCGTGGATTTTTTGATGACGAAACTCGAATTCTGGATATGTTATAGTGGGGAATACAATGTGATGTACTTGAAAACGCCGTCAATTTCGATGTGGCAGCGACTCATGGGGAGCAGAGCAAGAGGAAGTAGAGTATCTGGCCATCTGCGACATCTATTCGGGAATTCGATGGAGAAGTCGACGATGAGGCCGCCGCGACTGATGGAGCAGTCCCAGGCCCACGTCGACAACTTGGGGTTCGTTCTTCGGGACAAGCCTCAGCCGATCTTCCGCCGGGAGGGGTGCGATCTATGCTACACAGATCTGATTTCGCTGAAGCAGGCGTTGTGCGATACCCTCCTGGAAGTGCCGACGCTCTTGGGGGAGCTGATGGATCTGTCCACCCAGAGTGAGGTGATCAGCGCGGACTCCATGCACCGCTTCCCGGGACAGGGACTGTCCCATCCGATAAACGGCTCGTGCCGCGGCGACCTCATCGTAGACTTTCCGATTGAGATTACGAAAACGATGTCACAGAAGGGCAGTTCCCCACTCTAATTCCTCTTGCCCTGCACCCCATAAGCTTGTAGTCTTATGGGGAGCAGGGCAAGATTAACTAGAGCGAGGATCTGGCCCACTCTGACATCGTTTTCGGAAACTCGATCGGGAAGTCGACGATGAGGTCGCCGCGCACGGGCCTTTTGGGGCATTCCCAGACCCGAGAAGCGGCGCGTCGAGTCCGTACTGATCACCTCATCATGGGTGAAGAGATGCAGCGGCTCGCCCAGGAGCATCGGCACTTGCAGGAAAGTATCACACAGCGCCTGCTTCAGCGAGATCAGGCCCGTGAAGCGGAAATCACACCACTACCGACGGAAAATCGGGTGTGGGTTGGCGCACAGTAGGGCACCACGTCGCCCTCCTTTGGAAAGATGATACTGGTGTCCCCTTCCAGCCCGGAGATATCGCGATGTTCAGTGGCTTCTCCCGTTGAATCACACGGCCGCTTGATGGCGAGATGGTTTTTCCTCCAGTGTCACAAAAAGATCATATTCTTTCGCCGGAGTCTTTGGCAGGCGGCCACTCTTTGATCCTGGTCCAACCACTGTCGTCGTTGTCGGAGAACTCGGAGTCCATGGTTCTAATAGATTTCTAATTAATGGTCTGAGAATTTAAAATAAGATGCACTTTTTAAAATACCTTGAAAATATGTTGTACGATTAGATCCAAAGGCACAATTTGGTTAAACAGAAATGTCTACGGTGTCTATGGCTATAGCTTGTCACAAAAAATTTAAAATAAAATAATTTAAAATAAGATGCACTTTTTAAAATACCTTGAAAATATGTTGTACGATTAGATCCAAAGGCACAATTTGGTTAAACAGAAATGTCTACGGTGTCTATGGCTATAGCTTGTCACAAAAAATTTAAAATAAAATAATTTAAAATAAGATGCACTTTTTAAAATACCTTGAAAATATGTTGTACGATTAGATTCAAAGGCACAAATTGGTTAAACAGAAATGTCCAAGGTGTCTATGACTGTAGCTTGTCAAAGGGACTAACTTCGATTAATTTTCGACTTAAGACAAGTCAAGACTACATTTTTAGCACATTATACCCTCTACACACAGCCGCTTAAAATTGCAACAGCAATTCTTGTTAACATAGAAAATCGCTGAGGCGACGAGCAGATCGGCAAAGACAAACACAAGGGAGTTTTCGCATCAGCGACCGAATTCCCCTGGGGGATTTATCCCTCCATAAGAAATATACTTGTAGGAAAGAGACGGAAAAAGGCGCTATAACTCGCTGCAGCGGAAAATGGGACCGCACACACAAGTCGATTTAGTATTCCACTGATTTATTCAGTATTTTTTAAAGAAGGAAATGCATTGGAACTGCAATGGCGCCGTTAGGAGGAAATTGTTGTTTGTGCAGGCCCAAGGAGCCTCAGGAATCCACTTAAAAGTGCAACAGCGATTCTTAAGCGGCTGTGTGCAGAGGGTAATAGATCCTTAAGCCTAGTACTCACATCGACGAAAATCACGAGCTAACCATAGGAGTGAGGTCAGTTTTTTAGCGCGGTACTCAGATGATCTACGGAAATACCAGAAAAAATACCAGATTTAGCAAGAGAATTTCGATGAACGCCGTTAGCCGCGGCCCAAAGAATGGCGGTGTTTGTGCAAAACCATTGTGGAAACAAAAAATTAAAAACGGAAGAAAAACCCCAAAACCCCTGCAGAATGTCAGTGCAGATAAAAAAGGACACCTAATCCAAGCTCTTGCTTATTACTGTGGGACGTCATCGACAGGAAGCAATACCACAACAGGGAAAATCCGCAGAATAGTTGAAGTGATGGAGGAGATCCACTAGAGAATCCCAGGGGGAAGAAACACAGGGAGTGGGACTTCGCCCCCTACATGAACATCTTGCCGGGCGTGTCCTCGCAAATCAAGTATCTTTTAAGCAGAACGATCTCCGACAAGCTCTCCATTGGGAAACCACATGACCCTACCTCCACCAGCTTTTTGGCAGCTAAAGCGGATGCGGCGTGTCCTCAGCCGGCTTTTATAGGGAGGGGGGCGTCCGCTAAGGTACAGCTGAAGAAGCCATTGCCAGGATGCTGACCGACTTCCTGCAGCATCAGGAGAAAAAACCCCGTTCCCAATCCGGCTCTCACTTTCTCAAGGTCCAATATGGGACTCGGAGCTGGACTATAGATGGCGCGGGAAAGATAGCGAAGCATCCGAGGGACGAGAAGGAAGCCCTGAACTTCTAACTTACATACTTTCGTTTAACATTCCGTATATTTTAATTTTAATTTCTTTGTGCACCAACAAACTCTTATTTTTTAAATTGCTCCAGTTGATTTGTTTTCCGTTTAACAACAAGCCCAGCTGCTTGACAGTAAGATCATGCCACATGCATTGCGGGTGAACTTTAAAAACTTCGGTCACAATACAAAAAATAAGATTTATCGACTAGTGAATCTCTTAGCCGATCTGAGTAGCTTTAACTAAGCTAAGCAATTTGCATATCCTTGGATAACTTATTAGGGCAATGCCTACTAATACGGGCAAAAAGTATTTTTTTGATATTTTTTTCGGTGTATTTTAAAGTTGACTTAAAACTATTTATTTTAAGCTAAGATTAAATAGAAACTAACTTACCAAACTTAAAAAAAAGAAACATGTTTTTTTTAGCTTCAAAGTGTAGGACTGCCGCGTACGATTGTAGAGAACTAAACATACTTTTGGATACTCGGGAATTATGATTTTAAAAGTTAAAAAAACGCTCGATCTTATCCACAAAGTATGAAATGTTTTCTACTTTATGGGTAAAGTTTGATTTCGTAAAAAATACCTAAACAGTATGTTAAACTTCATTTAAAAATGGTTTTCGTTTTTGAAAAAGTTTAAAGTGAGGATTTTAGGGAATTGATAACAAATAATTTTCTTGGAAAACCGTTACTTATAGCTCTGTTATTTGAAACTCTTTTATCCCACAAAATATTACTGAACATTACAGAACATATTTCAAATGGAATACTCCCCTCTGAAAAGTGGCAGGCTCAGTAGCAGCTCTTCGAAGGGTGGCAACGTTGGCCACACATCGATAGCAGATATTCAGGAAAACCGATAGACCCTTGTCGATTTCAGGATTCGTTAACAAGTCACGGCGAGCGCGTCTAGCCACAAGCTTTCCATCTGCTGGAGATGAATGTTATTGGTCATTGCCAGAATAACCGTCTCCTGTAACTCCAACTCTGTCTGTAACTCCAACTACACGGTCAGACTTTGGGCCATTGAGTCTTTTTCGTTAGAAATGGCCAAGTTTATTTTTTTATTCAATAAATTTTAGTAATAACATTAAAAATTTTATCAAAATAAAAATAATTAGCTACTTAAAAATTGACAAATTCATAAACAAAAAGTTGGATTTTCCGCAGATGCCCAATGCAGCGGTGGTTAGCCACTATGGCCGTCTAGCGTATGCTTATCTTGCCCGCAGCCGCACGCAGTCCGGCGTGACCGCTCAGGAGCCTCAATGCCCTTCAGCCTTCAGAAGGGGATCTGAAAATAATATTAAAATTATAATTAAAGTTAAAAATCAAATCAAATTTTAACAAGGCATTTAGCGCCTCGCTAAGCTCCCGCGACATGGGGGACATTGAGGACTCCCTCGAAGGCTGCTGCACCTCCCCGTTGTTTAGCCCCGCCCAATGTCGCCGCAGGGTGGCATGTGGGCCATCCGGCAAGTACGCCGTGACCCCGTCCCCTTCGCACTTAACCCTATGCCCGCTCGGGTTTTTTACCACAGAGGTAAATGGGCAGTAGGGGCACGAGTATGTGCGGGACGTGGCCAAGCAGTTGTGGCGCCTGGCTTTAGAAGCATGACGGCATATTTGCCAGCACATCCAGCACTGATAAGGCATCGTCCCATTGCCGTCGAAGTGACTCTGCGGATGCATCGTTGGCATCTGCGGCCATTGAGTCACTGCAGCATTGGGAGGCAATGATAGACAAGGCCCTATCCGTGCTGGATATGGGCGCCCTGGCCGCTCCTGAGGAGCAATGGCCGCGGCACACTTGGGGGTGCCAACGGGGGAGCAGGTGGTGCTGCCCTCCTGAGCTGGCGGTGCGGGCGACGAAGTGGACCTCAAATCGAACTGCTCCTGCTCTGCCGGCTCCTCTTCCGGGTCCTCCTCCGGCTGCTCCTGTGACACCGGAGTAGGAGGCAGCTGCTGGTGGGGCACCCACGCAGGAGGCTGCTGCTGGTGGGGCGTCGGAGCAGGAGGAGGCGCCTGGAATTGTGGCGCTGGTGGCGCCTGGAATTGTGGCTGTGGCGCCACGTATCCCTGCGCAGGATTTCAGAGCGGCGGCTCCCAGGCCCAATGTCTATGCGTTGATTTTATTTTATGTGTTTCTATTTATACAAAAATTTTAAACTTCAACTTTAGCCAAAAGTAGTCCACCATACTTCATAGTTCTTGAATACACACCACCCACTAGATTATTATGTTAGACCAGCGGTTCACACCACTGTTGTCTGACGCTTCCATTTGGTTCTGGAATTATAAAAACATAAATAATAAACATAAAAAAATAATACGCGGATTCTGCGTGGCGTACTGGCCGGCCGCCATACCAGCAGCCACCGCTGCCACCACTACCTGAGTTGCTAAATTTGGAATAAGTACATACACTGGTCGGCAAAAAACAAAAAAACAATTTTTCAAAAATCATTTTGCTTATATTTTGTAGGTCATTTTGTATTTTTCCGACATGGTCACCTCAAAAAATTATAGAAAATTACATAAAATTATATAAAATTATGTAAAATTAAAAATAAGAAAAATGTTTGAAATATTTTATAATATATTTTATTTATTTATTTATTAAAAATTGTACGGGTCCTCGGTGATCGCCATCACCGAAACCAAGCTGCCGACGAGGAGGAGGGCCAGCTCCTCATCCTCCCTGACCGGGAACACCGACAGGGCTTCCGCCATCGCCTCCTCCAACGCGATTGCCCATTTTTGGCCGATGTCCTCCAGGAGGTCAGCATTCAAGCTGGTTAGGGACACCTCCTCCTCTGGCACCACCTGGTATATATTTCGTAGGACAAACTCGATTCTCCCGAACTCCTGCTTGTAATGTGCGAGCGCCCGCACAAGTGCCTGTGGTCATATCCAGGCGTCTTGGTTCGCCGCGTTGCTTTCGCTCACGGCTCCCACCAGTTGGTGCTGCAGCCCGCTCTTTGCGAAGTAGAACACCTCCCGTACTCCGTCCTTTATTTTCATCTTCCCCAACTTGCCGATTTCTGGAGACATCTATGAAAAAATAGGTAAATGGGAAGTAGGGGCACGAGTATGTGCGGGACGTGGCCAAGCAGTTGTGGCGCCTGGCATTACATGCATGAATGCATTTGGTTCAGCACATCCAGCATTGATACGGCGTCGTCGTCCATTGCCGTCGAAGTGACTCACTTGCTGCTTAGTTGGCACTTGACCAACCCAGTGAGCCACTTCAGCATTGGGAGGCAATGAATGATGGGGCCGTACCAATGCTGAATATGGGCGTCCTGGCCGCACCTGAGGAGCGACAGGACGCCTGCGCCCTGCTGATAGCAGCGGCACAGGTGGGGGTGGCAACGAGGGAGCAGCCTGCGCAGGTGGCGCTGTTGCCGGCGGCTCCTGCGGCGCTGCTGGCGCCTCGGCAGGAGGCTGCTGTGGCGGTAGCGCCATATATCCTTGCGCAGGATGCCACTGTGGCGGTGGCGCCACATATCCCTGCGCAGGATGCCACCCTTGCGCAGGATACCACAGTGGCTGCGCAGGCGGATTCTGCGCACGCGGATTATTAAGGACGTATTGGACGGCACTTTTCAAATATAATAAAATGTTCGGCTGGTGTAACATGCTGCATGCTCGTATTTTGAATATGTTATTGTTATACAATGGTATTACAAGCTTATGTATTTAAAAACGCCGTCAATTGCGATGTGGCAGCGACTCATGGGGACCAGGGCAAGAGGAAGTAGA